TTTTCTTTACAAATTAGTAAAATATAAACTTTTAATAATAAATTAGAATGAACAGGCTCTTTAAAATAGTAAAAAAAAAAATTTTGTTCTTTATTTATATTTAAAAAATTAACTCTCTAATAGCGAGATAATTTAACGACCATGCGCCACCTGTCGGAAATTTTTGGAACTAATTTTTATAAAAATTCATTTATGGGCTTATCAAGTTTTTTAATTAAATTTATTGATCGGAAGTAAATAAATGAATGAGAAAAATCGATTTTCTTATTGATAAAAAAAATTTTTCTCTACAAATTAATAAAATATAAACTTTTAATAATAAATTAAGAATACATTAGGATGAACAGGCTCTTTAAATTACTAAAAAACAAAATTTTAGTTCTTTACTTATATTTAAAAAATTAACTCTCTAATAGCGAGATAATTTAACGACCATGCGCCACCTGTCGGAAATTTTTGGAACTAATTTTTATAAAAATTCATTTATGGGCTTATCAAGTTTTTTAATTAAATTTATTGATCGGAAGTAAATAAATGAATGAGAAAAATCGATTTTCTTATTGATTAAATTGAGATGAATGAAAATTTTATTAGCTTTTAAAGTTTAAATTCAAAATTCTGGGTTCAATATTGAAAATATGAAAAATTTATAAAATTTTTTACAAAAAAGTCATCAATTTTTCCGTATTTTCAACTTTTGAATTTATTAATATTATTTTACATTTGTTTTTCAGATTATCATTTCCGTCGAGTCATTCATCGGTCGTCACTTACTGCGGCGTTTACTTAATAGTATAAATAAATTTTTTATTTTTAATGATTACTATCATCAAGATAAGAGTAAATAATAATTACAATAATTCTTCTAGTGTTACCTATAATTGAGAATAACATCCAGAAATTTAAAAATGCTCAAGTATTTTCTCCAATTCATCGTTGTGTCAGTAATTTGGTTTGTTTCGATGACAAGAATCTCGGACTATTTTCACCACTGGAGTGATGTTACCGTTGGAATGATAATTGGACTAGTCAATGCGATAATTACTGTGAGTGTGATTGCTATCATTAATTATCATATCATCATGAATCATTATATCGTATCACTAATCACTTAGTAGAAGTGTTTCTGATGCTAATTCATTAACACTTAGTTAATTCATTATTATTATTATTATTTTTATGATTATTATTTACAAAAAAATTATTTATAATTGATTTGTAATTAATTTATTTAAAATTAATTTATTGAAAATTATTTATAATTAATTTTAAGAAAAGTAAAATTTATAAATATTAAAAAAAATTCATTTTATTAAAAATTTTTTTTTAAATTCGCGGTTTTCCGCGAATTGATATTTTTAAATGAATCTATTAAATATTTTAACATATAAAAGTTCTTCAAAAGTATCAAAAAAAAAAATTTTTATTTTATAATTAAATACTTTAAATTTAATTTTTTGGTAGCGAGAAAATTCAGCGATTATGCGCCACCTGTTGGAAATTTTTAACACTAATTATTATTTTTCATTATTATCATTATTATTTTTATTTTGATGTTTATTTTTGTCATCATAGGTATTTTTCATCGCCGATTTATTTCAAGAATTTCAAGGATACGAATTTAAAAATGACCAAAAAGACAAGACCACAAAAATTGACATTCATGTCGCTAGTTAATTATATAAAATTGTTAAATTGTATATAATATAATTTTGTACATATATAATTATAAATAAATTAAATTATTTAATATAAAAATTTTCAAAATTTAACATCTGTTATTTTTTCCTATCCAATTTTTTAAAATTCATTTTTAATAATTAAAGTCAATTTTGTATTGTAAATAAGCGTATTTAATAATGTAACAAATTGTCAATTAATTAAAAGTCGCTTATAATCCCTAATTGGAATTTATTGACCCCCACTATAACTCTGAAGATAAGCCTAATGCTCGTTACTTATTTATTTATGAAACATTATAAAAAATTTTTTCAAAATTTTAACAATTGATTTATCAAAATTTAAAAAATGACCAAAATTTTAAAAAATAATCATAAATACTTATTTTGTATGCAATATATTAAATTAATCATCAAATTTATACAATTATATTTTATTTAAGCCATAATTTGCCGACTTTTGAACTTTTTATTCTCTTGGGTCGCTTTTAAAATTTGAAAAATTTTTAATCCCATTTTTTCACTTATTATTATTCATTCAATATTCTTTAAATAAATCAATTCTTAAATTTAGTTTTATAAATAAGCGTATCTAATGATCTAAAAATTGACAATTAAATAAACATGAAGTCTATGGTCACTAATTGAATTTTAATTACCTCTATTATAACAATAAAGATAACCTGACTCTTTATTACTTTTATATTTATTTTGAGGCTTTATCAAAAATTCCTGAAATATTTCTCCAGGTAAGCTCAGTCTACAGCTAGCTTTTAAAATAGTTGGATCATATTCAAAATTTACTCATCAATTTTTGAACATTAAATATCAAAATGACAAATATTTGGAAATCTAACGGGACTAAAATTATCGTGGATATTTTCTGTGCATTAATGTGTAAAAATTAAATTTTTTTATTAATTTATAGCAATTATTATTCGGTAATACACTGTTAAAAATTTCTATTGTAATTTTACAAGAAATGTATTGGAAGCTAATAGGCAAAACATTTATTTAAAATTACAATCGGGTATAGTAAAATTACAAAACATATATAGCTCAGTGAGGTTACTAATTTTACAAAACGGTTTTGTAATTTTACAAATATTTTTAGATTAGCTAAGTTTGTAAAATTACAATACTTTCCTTGAATTTTACTTGAATTGAAATAATAAAAAAAAAAGATTTGATTTAATATCTGTTGTCATTTTATTGTTACGAAGCGCTGACTAGATTTTGTATCTCACGTAGACCTAATTTGTACAACTCAGATGAT